GTGTGTGTGTGTGTGTATGTGTCTGTGTTTTATTTTATGTTTTTTCTTTCTTTCTTAATTGTTTCATCTTTATTGGAAACTGTTTCAAAGGAGACTTGTGGTTGTTTTAAATAACTTGTATTCTATGTTGTGTATTTTATATTGTATTAGTGTGATTGTAAACTATTTGTTGTTGCTGCCATTTTGAACCAAGACTGCCTGAAAGAAGAGATGTTTTATCTCAATTGTATATTTTCCTGGTTAAATAAAGGATAATAATAAATAAAAATAATAATCATCTTTTCTTTTCTCTTAACACTTAATCTATATAACAATTACCAACGAATAAAAACTTACATTTCTTTTCCATCTATGGATTATAGAAAGATATGTATTTAGAAAAAAAGATTTGTTGGAATTGTTTTCTGCATGCCTCGTTTAATTTTTCCAAATTTTCGAAACAAAACTAACAATTGTATCTTCATGGCTTTTTATTACAGTGAGTTTACATTTTGTAAGTATTTTGCATATTTCAATTTTATTTAAATACATAATTATTTTGTGCACATTATATGCATTTTCAGACAAAATTAGGCTGTTACTTTTTCATTTCATATTTATGTATCAGATATTTATTAGCTATTTACTATAAAATTATTTAATTGTCCTACTTTCTACAAATAATATATATATATAAATACTAAACACTATAACATGCTGTAAAATACTAACATTTATAGTAAAATGCCATACAGTCATACTAATTTGAGAAAAAATTTAAAATACTATTTCGAGCCTCCTCTGTTAGTTTATTACTTTCTGGATCAGTACATATAAAAAGAAATACCTTAACGTGATGTGGCAGATTGTCCAAAGTACTGTTGTGATATAGGAAAGCATGTGTGTTATGTGCACATATATACCTGATCCTCAACTTTGACTGCACTGCGTAAAGTGTGTATACAACAGGACGGGAGGGACTGACAAACATGACTGTTGATCACTGAACATCACTTTAACACGTTCAGACCTGGGCTGCGTTTCCCCAAAAGCACTGTAAGCTTAAGTACATCATAGACCCACTGAAACCAATGGAGCTACAACCATTCTTTTGGGAAATGCAGCTATGGGTTGTAAGCATGAAGCTGATGTTGGACCCCTACTGAGTAATATAACAGTTTCAGATGCAGCCATGCACACATTTAAACTTGTCGTGTCTTCTAGAGTCAAGAGAAAGGTTGGGGTGGGCTTTGAGAGCCCAGCTGTAATGTGCACTTTTTCAATAGAGGGCATACTCTGATAGTGACAGATGAAAACGGCATGATATGAGAACTTCATATTCTGCTAGAATAGAGTAGAGTAGAGTAGAATAGAATAGAATAGAATAGAATAGAATAGAATAGAATAGATATTTTGAATGTTTTACATGCAAACAGAAAATTCAGGATACAATTGTGCAAAAAAAAAAATTCCCCCACATTAATTAATGTGCATGCAAGGTCTGCATGGCTGCAGGATCATGGCACTTTGTGTGTTATTTAGAGGTTTTATCACTCTGTTTGCGCTGATAATTGGCCTACATCTGAGGCTGCGAGTGAGATGAAGTGTAGTACCACCCGCTCCGGACTTTAGATCAGTGACACGAGCAGGACTGTCCTGCTGCAGGTGTATATAAGACACCTGCGCCTCCTCCACAGGTACGTCCACTGGACTAACACACACACACACACACACACACACTCAGTGCACAGCACAGGTAGGTCAATCATGCTGAAATAATGCCGCTCAGTGCTTGGCAAACCATGCTTGGTATTTTAAAAACAAATGAACATATGCGTTTGTTTTGGATTTGGGCTCTTGAGCTGATTTTTAAGTTCTCTTAGTCAGTGTGTGTTTCTGTGTTTAGTGGTCTGGGTGTATCTTAGTAAGGATGTGAGCACTGCTGATGAGTTTGAATCATGAGTGTCAGGGAGTGCTCAGGTTTATGTCTCTCATCAAAGTGTTGCTTAACTGTGTGGTGGGAATTGCTGTATATTGACGTATAAATGGTCTGCTGACAGATTGATCATTTCTTAGTGTTTCTATAAGTAAAAATCTGTGAGCATTTGTGAGATATTAACATGTGGGCAGTTCAACACAAACAGGTGAGCTAATAATCAGTCAGAAAGAAAGAAAGAAAGAAAGAAAGAAAGAAAGAAAGAAAGAAAGAAAGAAAGAAAGAAAAGGTTGCTTTAAACTTTGTTGTTTTCAATCACTGCTTTTTAAATGAGAAAGAAATAACTTTTTACTTTGTACTTTTTATTTGCTTTTATACTTTACTTTGCTTTTACTTTAAACTGTTCGTTGATTTAAACACTGCATGCTCTCTGAGAAACAATACTTATACTTTTTCCTTTCCATTTTCCATTTTTACATTACAGTTTTTGTTTTGTTTAATCACAGCTTTCTAAATGAGTAAGAAATCAACTTTTTACTTGTACATCTGTGTTTACTATTTTAATTTAAACTGTTCATTGTTTTTAAACAATGCTTTCTAAGAAAAATAATTTAACTTTTTTTCCTTTTTAATTTATACTGTTTATTGTTTTTTAATCACTGCTTTTTAAATGAGAAGCATTTTTACTTTACTTCACCTTAAATTGTTCATTGTTTGTAATCATTGTCATTTGATGATATCACAGTAATATCATAAACATCATGTTAAATAAGAAACAACCCTTTTATTTGTATGTTGTTACTTTTTACTTTAGTGTTCACTGTTTTTAAACACTGCATGCTTTTAAGGAAAGAAAATAGATGTTTGACTTGTAGCTTGTCGTTTTGTTTTGCTCTTCTGGTTTGTTTTGCCAAACTTTTAGCCAGATTTTACCAAACTTTTGGGACAAAGAATGCAAAGCATTTATGTGGCGCAAAAGTGAATACACTTCAAAAGAAAATGTTCCTTGTGAAATGGCTGCATCGTAACATGTTATTTGTGTGTTTGTTGTAACTGAAGGCAATGGCTCCGCTGCCTGAGACTCATCCCGCCTCGCCGCCGCCGGAACTCGGTATGTTCCCCGTATAAATCCACGTCCACACAGAGGCGCACTTCCTTCCTCCCCTCTGTTCCTGCTTTCTTTCTGTCTTCAGACGCGTGTCTTTTCTCCCGCAGACGCAGAGCTCGTGCGCAAAGATGGGACGGATCCCGAGCCGCGGTCAGAAGAGTCAGAGCCGGAGGACGAGCTGGACCCCTGGGACCTGCCGGAGCTCCGGGACACCGGGGTGAAGTGGTCAGGTGAGGGGCGCAGCGCGGATGAGCCGCGGGACGCGAGCTGAGCTCCGCGCGTCTCACGCTTTGTCTGTGTTTGCTCTGCAGATCTCGACACGAAGGGGAAAGTTCTGCGCGTCCTCAAGTCCATCGTGAAGTTCATTCTCCTGCTGGGTTTGCTCTACGTGTTCGTCTGCTCTCTGGACATCCTGAGCTCCGCTTTCCAGCTTGTAGGAGGTACTTTCTTTAACTTTCTTTGAACTTTCCAACTTTTTCATTAAAAGTAGTTCAGTGTGTGTGTGTGTGTGTGTGTGCGTGTGCGCGTGCGCGTGTGTGCGTGTGTGTGTGTTTTAAGAACAGTACAATTGTGCTAAACGACTATACTCAGTGAACTGCATTATATAGTGAACGAGCCTTTTGGTAAAGTTGGGTGACTTTTGGAAATTGTACTTATTCATGCACTTTTAATAAGAATCCAAAGTTCTGTATAACCTAACAGTATACCTTAATGGAAAGCTTTAGATACATTTTACCTTAACCAAAAGCAAAAATTAGAAAGTAGGCTACTAAAGGCCAGGGAGAGACTGAATCATGAGGCCCTCTTCTGGGCCCCCCCCAAACATGCAAATAGAAAAATATATGAAAGAGCTCAATTCAGCACCCGCGCGCTGTGTTCTGTGCGCACAGGGCGCACACAGAGAGACGCATCTCAAAGTGCTTGAACACCGAATTTGCCTCTTCTTGCTCTTGTACCGATAAATGCATACAAAATTGTCAAAATACCCGTCTTGGTGAGTAACCTCAAAAAAATGTTGGTTATGTCTAAAGTGAAAGTAAATAGTGGAGAAATTAATGTGTATCATTATAATGGACGCATTAATTGCCTCTTAAAGTGACAGCGCCGAATTTACAAGCTGCTGTCTGTGTCCTTAATGTTAATCTGCTCTTGACTGAATTACTTTGTAGTTTTAACAAGAATTAATAAAAAGAACGAACATACAAATTAAACAATTTCAAACAGGGCCCACTGGTACAACCTGCACTGGGGCCCCGCAAACCCCAGCTATACGGCCCTGCTGTACTGCAATATAGTTTATAATATTATTTTATTATTATTATTATTTGTTTGCAATATAAGCCTACATACAGAACTTATTGTCTCTGTTTTGTTGTGCCATTTGATTGTAAAATACATCTGAAATATCTGTAGTGCACTGCACTACACTACCATTTAATCATTGTAATTGCTATGTAAGTTAATAATAAACTCATAACTTGATATACTGTCTCACTTTATCAGTATCACCCCGTTTCATGCTGGGAAAAAAATTCTATATTTCTATACAAATTCTAAATTCTTTTTTAATAAAAAAATTTAAAAAGCTACTTATTATTATTATTATTATTAACAAACTGGGAGTATATATTTATATATTGATGTATTAAATTAACCATGATTAATTTTGTGATTCCACGTTCAATGAAAACTGTTATTGAGGAGGGGGGGCGGATATGATTTCATTTTACAGCTTGATTGCATTTTAATTTAGTTTGAGTATTTTAATGTATTAATAATCTGAAAACTTTGAAGACCCTTTGCTTGTATGTTTGCTTCCATTTTTCAGCCCTTATTTCCTATGCTGGTATAACCACAGTCATTTCTACTATACTATAGTGATGGGACTTTTTTTTATTAGAAATTTATTTTAACTTTATACTACTATACATTACAAATATACTGTATATACTTTACTGTATACTATAGTAATTCACTATACTACCAAACTATACAACCATCCCAAACGTATGAGGAATTCTGTAGAAACTATGTAGGTCAAACAGAAAAACTTGATAAGTGGCTGATCTTTTGTGGGTTAGCAGTGATCATAGGCGTCTTATCATAGCGCACGTCGGTTTAACATGGTTAATCTATTAATAGAGGCTGGTTGTCTTTGAACAGAAATAGGTGTGCTGTGGACACAAATATCATGGTTTGCTGGTTTTGTCATTGTTCTCAGGGAAGGCAGCTGGCGATATCTTCCAGGACAATGCGGTTCTGTCGAACCCTGTGGCTGGTCTGGTGATTGGAGTCCTGGTCACTGTTCTGGTTCAAAGCTCAAGCACCTCGTCCTCCATTGTGGTCAGCATGGTATCGTCTGGATGTGAGTGTCTCTGTGTGTGTGTGTGTGTGTGTGTGTGTGTGTGTGTGTGTGTGTGTGTGACTCCTGCTCATACACATATCTCCACCCTCATGATAAGCACTGCCTTAAAACAACAGTAGCAGATTGTAATTAAGTAAAAAAAACAATATCCACTGTAAAATGTGCTGTAAAATTGTTGTTACCTTAAGGCACTTCTACCTGATATAACCCTTGAATTTGTGACTAATAAGTGATTCTACTTTGATTCTACCACTTTCAAAGACATTTAGACATTTATAGTTTATTTATAGACATTTATAATGTTACAAAGTATTTCAATTTCAAATCAACTTAAAATTATAAATATTATAAAAATTATAAATAACTGTTTCCACTAAAATATTCGGCAGCACAACTGTTATTAACATTGATAATAATCAGAAATGTTTGAGCAGCAAATCAGCATATTATACTGATTTCTGAAGGATCATGTGACACTGAAGACTGGAGGAATGATGCTGAAAATACAGTTTTGATCACAGGAATAAGTTACAGGAATATATTTAACAAAATGCATTTTTTGACTATTTTTGACCAAATGCAAATGCAGCCTTGGAGCGTAGAAGAGACTTAAAAAACATTTAAAAAAAAGAATATATATTATTTTTTATTGTATATTTCAGTGTTGGAGGTGAAATCTGCAGTGCCAATCATTATGGGTGCTAATATCGGCACTTCTGTGACAAACACCATTGTGGCCGTGATGCAGGCGGGAGACCGCAACGAGTTTCGCAGGTAAACCCAACTAAGGAATCAGTTTTGTATCTATAAAGTGATGGAAAACATTGAAACACTGTGTCTTATTAGCATCATTTGTATACAAAATCTTGAAAATAAAAATGGTGCAAAACTTAATCTAGCACTCTTTCGGTAGCTTTGAATTTACGTGCTGATGAAGGAGTTCCGGTTGAACATCTGAGAAATGGGTTATGTCATTGATTCTGTGTACCTCAGGGCATTTGCTGGAGCTACGGTCCATGACTTCTTTAACTGGCTGTCTGTCCTGGTGCTGTTGCCTCTGGAGGTGGCTTCAGGATACCTCTACAGACTCACCAAACTTATAATTGATTCCTTTAACATCCAGACGGGTGCAGACGCTCCAGACCTTTTAAAGGTCATCACTGAACCCCTCACCAAGAACATCATTGAGGTGAGATCAGTGGATCTGTTGATTTATCTAGTAGGTGTTACTAGTCAACTGCATCTGTATGCAACTGTATCAGGCAGCCGATCGCATAAGCTCCACTGTGTCATTGTTATTGTCCTATAAATTAATGTTTGGTAGCAGCAGGATTATTAGGCTGCTGTCACTTTAAGACCTAATCCACAGATCAATATACTGAAACGCATACAGTTTTTTTTTTTTCCCTCTCTCTAACCAACTGTTTACGAGGACACTTAAGATGGGAATTCCGACATAGTTGTGTGTGTTTATCTGTACAAAATAAGACAGTATTTTACATTTTCAATTAAGAATATACAACAATTCAGTTTACAGAACCTTCATAAATGAAATGCAAACTGAAGGCAAAAACACACTTTATTCATCCTTTTATAGAAGTAGAGTTAAAAAACCCATGCTGTATCTTGTAGAAAGGTACATCACCATCTAGCTTTGACCAAAATGGTTTGAATGCACCTGACATTGTAATTACGACTTCCAAACTCATAAAAACAAATATCCCAGAAGGACTTGAATGCACTAATATTTGCATCACAGATCAAAATCAGATCTTTATGCACCTGCTTTGCTCTCTGCTGTATCTCTACCACATGTTTTTTTTTTATTGAAAATTGTTTTTTTTTATTTTTTATTATTGTTTTGTTCTTCCAGCTGGACACATCTGTGATCCGTGACATCGCCACTGGAGACCCTGCTGCCCGAAACAAAAGTCTGGTTAAGATCTGGTGTAAAACAGAAAAAATCACGGTGAGAATGTGAAAGTGGGTTAATAAGTGCAGCACACCCACTATTTCTCGTCAGTCACTAGATTAGGCTGTTAAAACATGAGGAAATAAGATTTATCACACTGATGGGAATTCAGAAGATAAACATAGGGTCTATATGTACATACAAATACAGATATGCGAGTCTTTTATCTAAATTCCCGATAAACCTTGTTAACCAAGGCATTAGCTCTGTTGCTCTGTTCTAAAGCCTAGAGCATTGCCTTGCTGTCTATATAGATAGCTTCCTTTAAAGGCAGCATTTTAACTGAAAGTAAACATTTTATTTGGAACATTCTATGTAGCTATGTCAGCTGGGTATGACATACAACATCAAGCACGCAGAGATTCAACTCCCAATTGATTGCAATAGCTTGTGGTGTTAGCATGTTGCTTAGGACGTTCCAATTCTGCCCACTGCAAGAGTTCTGCCAGTAGTGGGCACTCATGCAACGTAATCAATGACATACATCCCAGTAAACTAGACGGAGGGAAGTTTGCGAGTGAAGGGCGTAAAAATGGACTGGAATGCAGCCAATGTGTAAAAAAGTCACTTAGCATATACCTAGCAGCAACTCTGTACATCTCGCAAAAACTTGTCCTCATGCACAGCACACAGAGGCTAAACTAGGGCTGCATCTGAAATCGCATACTCTCTTGACTAGGTAGGCTATTTTTTATTTTTTTTTAATAAGTAATTACTTCTCAACTGCAAAAAGAGCAGCTGAAAAACGTATTTGCGATATATGGGAGTTTTTGCGAAATTGACGTGTTTCTATTGGGCGTATTTTCAGTTCACAATTTCAATTTGCGCAATTTGAAGGGTTATGGAAACACAATGATTGGCAGTGATGTGACGCAACTGAAGCTGGTAGGTCACGTGACAGAATACACCACACTTCAGAATAATGCTGTTAGCAGTAGGTTATCCGGGTGCCTACTCTTTTAGGTTATACTTTTTGCCTACTCTTTTAGAAGTACTGTGAATTCGGATACACTTCTTTTGTCACATGCTGTTTTTCGCCCACTATATAGTAGGGAAGTATGAGATTTCGGATGCAGCCTAGGTCGATTGTTTTGTTAGCATGTTGGTAAGCTAACAATGCGACACTGAGCATAAAAAACTTAATATTCTCTCCCTTATGTAAGGTTTAGGTCTGAAGATGTATTTTTGTCCGTTTCAGAACCTCATGAATATAACAGTCCCTGGATTCGCAAACTGCACGCCTGGCGCCCTCTGCTGGGAGGAGGACGGCCAGATCTGGACTCAAGAGAACCAAACGGAAACAAACAACTTGGAAAAATGTAAGTGCCTCTGCTTGCTTTGTGGCTCTTGTAGCAACTAGCGCAGGAACTTCCTGGATCAACAGAGACTGAAGCCTAATGTCAATCCATTTCCCGTCCTATTCCTTACATAGCTGACTTATTTCAGCTCTAAGCCATCGATCGCAATTCACTCTAACCTCCATGAGTACAATGGATTCTTATAAAAGCTGAGAGAGATCTTAGCTTCACCTTTCCCCCCCACCCCATCCATCTACTCTACCTTTTCAATGGGGCTATTCTTCATGACAGCCTCGGGCACTTGAGGCCAGTGCACCTGAAGAAAGAGCCTCTGCCAATTTGGCAGTAGGGCTTTTGCTCTGGGTATGAATTTGGGTGATTTAAATCAATGCAAGTAGTTAGATCGCATGTTGAAATTCCAGCCTTGACTTGGTTCAGTGGATTTGAGTATGTAATCATGCTGTGGTCTTTCAACTGTGACAGAGTGCGCTCAGATTTTCAAGAAGCACCATTCAGCAGCTCCTCAAATGAGAATTTGAAGATAATTTTTAGGAGATTATATCAGGGGTTTTCAAACTTTAATGCCAAGGATCCCCAAATTTGTTAATCCCCTTGCAAGGGATTCATTCATGCATTCATAAAAGATAAAAGCAGCTATATATAAATGGCCCATTTTTTTTTTTTTTTTTTTTAAGTATTAACTTTCTTACACTTTTACAATTTTTTTTTTGGTGGACATTTTAACTGACCCTTGTGCAACCCCTTAGGGGTCACTAAACCCCATTTTGAAAATGACTGAACTATCATAAAGCAAGCAACTGCAGCTATTGAGTGTGATTTTGTGATTTTATGTAGTAATGACAATGATCACAGTCTCGTAGCAATAGCATAATGGTCAAGATGTACTTAATATCTGAAAATAGCCCTCTGTATCTTTTAAGATTTGCAATTTTATTTGGTCCATTTAAGTAGTAAGATTTCGAACTAGAATCAGCATACAACTATTTTCATAAAGCTTTGTTAGCAATCTGATTTAAAAAATCCTGGCGCTGGCAATCGATTAAAAAAAATTAACTAGTTAATCACACATTTTCCTGTAATTAATCACGATTAATCGCATATTGATATTTATTATGTCTTCATTTCACACTTAATCTCCAAATTCATGTAGAAACAACATAAAAATGCAATAGTATATTTTAAATATGAGTTTAATGGCATATTTTTACTAAGTAGCCTATTATTAATGAAGACCAGTGTCATTGATACCAATAATGCAATGATGTCTCTATTAAATGCATTTTCACTTAAATTTTCGGCATTAATTATAGCCATTCAACATTACAATATAACTGAAAGCCATTATTTTTTAACATTTTAATAGGCTTTGAAAAATATAACTTTAAATTTAACTTAACCAGTCTTCACAAACTATAAAATGTATTTCCACTATAAATTGAATATAGATTCATCTTTATTCAAGCTAAAAAAAATTAATCAGTGAGCTGTGTGCGTTCACGAAAAATGTATATTGCATTAAACTGAAAAAAAAATAAAAATAGTAATCACACTATTAACGTGTTAGTTTTGACAGCCCTAAAAAGTCATTTTATGCTACAGTAGACTAGCATGTAAAGTGATAGCTTATTCAAATAATGCCACAGGAGTCAAAAATAATAATTTATTTACTGGAAAAAATTTGAAATTACTAGCAAATGTGCATTGACTTTGAAATCAGAGTCTGGTCCATCCAGCTATTTTATGGACATGCTCTAACTCTGAAAAGATTTCACACACACACACACACACTAAACTATGGAACATAAAAGAAGATAATTTGAAAAACATCTCAGTATTGTTTCGTTCATGCAATGAAAGTCACTGGTAACCAAAACAGCTTTGTTACCAACAGTCTTCAAAATACCTTCTATGTTGTGCAAAAGAAAGTAAGTCATTCAGGTTCGAAATGACATGAGGGTGAGTAAATGACAGATTTTTTTTTTTTTGGTAAAAAAAAGACTTAACTTTTAACTTAACTTTTTTTTTGTAAAAAGACAACTTTAAACACTAGAAGATTGTTGTACTTTGCTTGTAAAAGCCTTTTCGTCCATTTCATAATAATTGTTTTGTCTCTTTCTTTGTCATTCAGACTCTTTGTTTTGTCTAAAATATATATTGTATCTCCTGTTTCTGTTAAAGGGACAACTTTTAAAGTTGTCCCTTTAATGTTTTTGTTTTGTTTTTGTTTTTTAATAAATGAAATGATACTCTAAAGAAGAAACTACAACTGCCAGCAGGTGGTGGTAAATGTCTTTGTGTCATTCATTCATTCGATTTGTTCAAACGGCTGGTTCATTCAGGAATTCAGTAAACGTCTCACTTTATGAATAGGCCTTTGAATCATTGGTTCACACGATTCGTTCAAAACGCAGGTTCATTCAGAAACTGTACTTGCAGATAATATATTAAAGAAATAAAAGGTCATTTATAATGTTTGCTGGTTTTCAATTTGACAAGTGCCCCAAAAGAGATCTACCTTATTGCAAAATTCAGCTCCAATCCTGATCAAAAACACCTGGACCAGCTAATTAAGACCTTCAGAAGCGCTTGATAATTAGACAGGTATGCTGGAACTGAACTGTGCAGGTAGGTAGATTTTTAGGAACAGGTTTGGAAACATCTACTCTAAAACCATCAAACTACACCAGCAGGGAAACTGGACAGTAACTTTCCAACACTTTCATGAACGTTCTGTATATTTCTGTAAGCTCTGACAGACTCCTCCTCATCTCTTCAGGTACTCACATGTTTGTGTACGCTGATCTGCCGGACCTGGCGGTGGGCTTGATTTTGTTGGCTCTGTCGTTGCTGGCCCTCTGCACCTGCCTGATTCTGATCGTCAAGCTGCTGAACTCAATGTTGAAGGGTCAGGTGGCGGTCATGATCAAAAAGGTGCTCAACACCGGTGAGTCAACATCAGAGATTAATCATCTGCCGATAAGCTCTGTTGCTAATTGCTAACATTAACCTCTGATACGCACTCTTTGTGGTATATGACAGTGCGTCAACACTGAACTTTTAAGTTGAAAGTTGAGGACAAAGACGCATGTAGCAAATATTTGACCTTCAGCTAAAAACATACATGTGGCAATTCCCCACCCTTCCCAGAGTTCCCTCTTATCACATTCCTGTAGGCGTAGCGCTTACTGGAAGTGTGTTCGCATGTATCCTGTCATATGATAGTCGGCACAGGTGATCCAGTCCTGCTGTCTGATGAGCTGAACAGGAACATTATATGAGCCTGAGTGTGTCTGAGTGCCACAGGTGTGTGTGTATGTGCATGTGCTGTTGGTTTCAGACTGCACTCAGGTACATGCCCATAACTCCCCACATATCCACTCTACTTGCATTTTAGCCAAAGCTCTGTGGGGAGTTTTAATGCAGCCATCACTTAACACCAGGAATAAATGCACATACTAAACATACTGTTCATGACCTTTCTAATACGGCTTTGATTGTTGCCAGATTTCCCTTTCCCTTTCGCCTGGGTCACTGGATATCTCGCCATGCTTGTTGGAGCCGGAATGACCTTCATTGTTCAGAGCAGCTCTGTCTTCACCTCAGCTATCACTCCATTAGTCGGTCAGTATAGAAACCCAGATGTTTATAGTGGTTGACCGATACGGGTTTTTTGACAGCTGATACCGATGCGATATCTTGGAAAGCAGGGTGGCCGATATAAAGCCGATATAATTTTATTTAGTTTAATTCATATTTTAAAAAATTTGAAATCATTTGAAAATGGATTAAAAAATAAACGTGTAAAATAAACATACTTATACTCTAGAACAGTGGTTCTCAACCACATTCCTAGAGAACCCCCAACACTGCACTTTTTGCATGGCTCCTTTGTCTGACACAGCCATTTCAAGTCTGTGAGTCTCTCCTAACGAGGAGGTGACCTGAATCAGGTGTGTTTGATTAAGGAGACATGCAAAATGTGCAGTGATTGGGGGGGTCCTCCACTGCTCTAGAAGACGAAGTATTTTTCATAAATATTTAATAAAAATAGAATTAAAAAGGTTATTCAAGTTTTTCGATCGCGCGTCTCCAGTGAAGCTGAACTCTCCTCCTGTCAGTATTCGATTCGCACGGACCATAGGACCGACCGTTACAGAACACGCGATCATGCAGGTCACATGCACACTTCACAAGATCTCAACTAGATTAGACTAAGTCTGCAAGGTTTGTGAAATTAAATGTTCATTAGTCATTCAAAGATTTGTTTAAATTATATAAATACGTATTTGTGGAATGCTGACGGCAAATGAGAAAGTATTATAATGTTTGCCTTTAATAATATTAAAGCAATCGTTATAATCCTTTTTTTGTATAGATTTTAATTCCTTTGTTTAACAATTCTATCTGATTTTTAGATTTCAGAACTGAATGACAACAGCGAACAAGAGGGAGAATGTGAGCACTGTGTGCTCCGGCGCTGCCGCAGCCGTTCTCGGCGGCGTCAAAATAAAAGTCTGACGCGCCGTCAAAATACACATCAGCCAAACAGAAAAACTTATCGGCCGATATTTGAAAAATGGCAGATATCAGCCGATATATCACCAAGGCCGCTAGATTGGACTGGTTACCAAACTGTTGAAAACTGAGTCACGATTACGGTTGACCTAGACATTTTGTGTAATTTTACGGCATTGCATGTATCACTCTTGGAAAGGGCAATCCCAGAACGTTCTACAGAATCCCAGGACAGACAGTGGAATGTGTAGGAAAGAAAAATTGTTGATTCAGGCATTTAAATTGGTACTGTTTTTTTTTTTTTAATTATTACTACTGTTTTCTCTCTATTCAGGTATTGGTGTCATTAGCCTTGAGAGGGCGTATCCACTCACACTGGGCTCCAATATTGGCACAACAACCACAGCTATTCTAGCTGCCCTCGCCAGTCCTGGAGAGACACTGGCAAACTCTCTACAGGTTTGTTTCTGCACTTTTCATTTGATTTGATTTTATTACTCTGGTTATAGATTAAAGACTATCATTTGTGTTTTCTTTCAGGTTTCTCTCTGTCACTTCTTCTTCAACATCAGTGGTATCCTGCTCTGGTATCCCATCCCTTTCACACGCATCCCCATCCGATTAGCCAAAGCTTTGGGCAACTGCACGGCTAAGTACCGCTGGTTTGCGGCACTGTATCTCATCCTGATCTTCCTCCTCTTCCCACTGGCAGTCCTGGGCCTCTCCATCGCGGGGTGGCAGGTCTTGGTGGGGGTCGGAGTGCCCGTGTTGGTCTTGGCGATCTTTGCGATCGTGGTAAACATTATGCAGAAACGCTGCCCACATTTCCTGCCATCATTCCTCCGCAGCTGGGATTTCCTGCCCACACCGCTACACTCCCTCAAACCCTGGGACAAAGTGGTGACTGCTAGCATGACCTTCTGCAGGACTCGCTGCTGCTGCTGCTGCTGCAGCTGCAAAGAAAAAGAGAAGGATGAAGAGAAGGATGATGTGAAAACCAAGGATAAGAGTTTAGAGATGTATGACAACCCTGCGCTCACTATAGAGGATGAGGCCAAAGTAACAGCGACACATTTATAATGCATTATAATTTATAACAAAATGTGTTTTTCTGGTAATGCTCAAAAACAGCACATTGGGTCCATGTGCAACTTTGTTGTTGATGACTGCAACATATTTAATCACTACATTTAAATCTTTCCAAAAGAATAGTTCAGTTAGGCTGCATTTACACTGGGACAAAAAAATCAGATTTTTTTTTGCTCGCATCTGAATTTGTTGTACATGTGTAAACACAAAATTCCGCACGAGATACGAATTTTTTATTTTTTCACATTTGATTTGGGCCACTTCCAAATGTGGACTTTAATCAGGTACATATCTGATATCTGGACATCCGACCTGCATCTAAACACACGCATCCGATTCCCCGCAGAAATCTGAGCCACCACAATGCGATGGCGACATTTTTGCTAATAAAGATAGCGTTTTAATGTCGGAGTGCTGTATATGTGCTTGCATTTTATTGAGGTGGAAACTTTGTGGAAACTGCACAATATTGAGGAGCTGGTTTTCAACCCCTGTCCTGTGAATTTTTTAAATACAATAACTATGCTACTAAAACCTAATATATTTCTCAGCAATGAAGAGATAAATTAGCTGTTTTTGTAATTAAACCAACAAGCTTTACTAAGATACTCACTCGCATGTTCTCTTGCTCTGTCGTTAATTCATTCAAATAAATATCTTACAGCCCTAATTTATTTCACTTCAGAATTCTACATCTAACGAGCTGTAGATAAAATAAATTAAAATTACCGTTCTTTTCCTACGTTCAGTCAGATTTTGTGCTGCGAAACATCTGTGACAGCTGTTGTCCATGCTGGCAAATAATGTCTACTCGACGTGAATTATATAAATACAGTATATATATTTTTTTTAATAGCACGGCCGTTCAACACCTATTGGCCTACTACTATGTGCATAGTAAAGAGATCACTGATGGGCGGGAATTCATGTAAACAGATATCGGATACCAGTTGTGTCAAAGTGAATGTAAACAGGCGGGCCAAAAAAATCAGATATGGTCAAAAGATCGGATCTGTGCATTAATACTTGCAGTGTAAATGCAGCTCTAAAGACCCTGTGAAATCAGTATGTCCTGCCCCAACTTCCTGTTTTAACAGGAAATACATCAGCACAGGAAAGAGTATTGAAGTTGTCAGTCGATTTCATGTGGTCTTTAAGAACAAAGAAAATGCATCAGGTATAAGACCACAATAAAATGGCATCACAGTGCAGAGGTTAAAATCTATCTCTAATTCTTGATTATGTTATTGTAGTTGTTTGTGCATGATGTACCAGTGGGAGGAGTCAGGGCTTTCATAAAAGTCTGTGTTTGTATAATTGTTCAGTATTTATTTCTGAAAATGGTAATGCGGTGCTAAGCAGGCCAATGAAAAATGCACACTCTTGGCAGTAATTTTGCGCATTATGTGGAACTATGTAAAATGCATTTGTATAGGTTTTTAAATTTTTGTAAACAATTCGTTTTTTTCTCTTTTTTTCATTTGTGTCTGGTTATACTGTTGCATTTTGTAAATTTCATTAAGATTAGGCTTAAAATAGTTCTCTACTCCGATGTAAGATATTGTCTTTAATAATATTTAAGATGACATAAGAACATTGGCTCTGATTTTGTATCTTTGAAAAACATTGTGCAATTTAAAACATGATGTTTACTTTAAGACCACTAAACTTTTCATTAATTTATAACTTCTTATCTCTTTATTGTTTTATTGTGAGTCAAAGATGATCTAGTGTCCATTTGTTTTGTTTGAATTCTTATTGCATCTACTTATCAACTTGTGTGGGTGAGTTCTGAAAATGTTATCATGAGCGTAGGGTAAGTAATGAGATACCACCCAGAAACTATATACTATACAGTAGAGACACCAAGCTAAGTCTACGTCACAGATGAAACTAAGAAAATACAGATGAAAGTACAATTTGTTCATGAATATCTTGTGTATTTACCACTCAGTGCCTTAAAGCAAAACTCTGAATAATCATATATTTTATGCCATTTGTGACAAACGTCGACAAATCCAGTTATTAGTTCATTCGCAGAATGTGTTTCTATCAACCCACACAAGACAAACTAATAAAGCTGACATCAAAGAACTAGATTTGACGAAAGTCAACTATAGCCCTATTTGTATGAGATTAGGACCACTTTACCAGGAATTTTACCACAGGATGTCTGTAATATTAATGGCCAAATTGCACAGGAAAAGAAATCTCAATAAAACTACCAGAAGTGGGAGGGGTAACTCGATTTATGCACTGCCATCACCTCTCTGTCAGACCTAGACATTTTGTGTAATTTTACGGCATTGCATGTATCACTCTTGGAAAGGGCAATCCCAGAACGTTCTACAGAATCCCAGGACAGACAGTGGAATGTGTAGGAAAGAAAAATTGTTGATTCAGGCATTTAAATTGGTACTGTTTTTTTTTTTTTAATTATTACTACTGTTTTCTCTCTATTCAGGTATTGGTGTCATTAGCCTTGAGAGGGCGTATCCACTCACACTGGGCTCCAATATTGGCACAACAACCACAGCTATTCTAGCTGCCCTCGCCAGTCCTGGAGAGACACTGGCAAACTCTCTACAGGTTTGTTTCTGCACTTTTCATTTGATTTGATTTTATTACTCTGGTTATAGATTAAAGACTATCATTTGTGTTTTCTTTCAGGTTTCTCTCTGTCACTTCTTCTTCAACATCAGTGGTATCCTGCTCTGGTATCCCATCCCTTTCACACGCATCCCCATCCGATTAGCCAAAGCTTTGGGCAACTGCACGGCTAAGTACCGCTGGTTTGCGGCACTGTATCTCATCCTGATCTTCCTCCTCTTCCCACTGGCAGTCCTGGGCCTCTCCATCGCGGGGTGGCAGGTCTTGGTGGGGGTCGGAGTGCCCGTGTTGGTCTTGGCGATCTTTGCGATCGTGGTAAACATTATGCAGAAACGCTGCCTGCCATCACTGCCATCATTCCTCCGCAGCTGGGATTTCCTGCCCACACCGCTACACTCCCTCAAACCCGTGGTGACTGGTGGTAAACATTATGCAGAAACGCTGCCCACATTTCCTGCCATCATGCCTCCGCAGCTGGGATTTCCTGCCCACACCGCTACACTCCCTCAAACCCTGGGACAAAGTGGTGACTGCCAGCATGACCTTCTGCAGGACTCGCTGCTGCTGCTGCTCCAAGTGCTGCAAAGAAAAAGAGAAGGATGAAGAGAAGGATGATGTGAAAACCAAGGATAAGAGTTTAGAGATGTATGACAACCCTGCGCTCACTATAGAGGATGAGGCCAAAGTAACAGCGACACATTTATAATGCATTATAATTTATAACAAAATGTGTTTTTCTGGTAATGCTCAAAAACAGCACATTGGGTCCATGTGCAACTTTGTTGTTGATGACTGCAACATATTTAATCACTACATTTAAATCTTTCCAAAAGAATAGTTCAGTTAGGCTGCATTTACACTGGGACAAAAAAATCAGATTTTTTTTTGCTCGCATCTGAATTTGTTGTACATGTGTAAACACAAAATTCCGCACGAGATACGAATTTTTTATTTTTTCACATTTGATTTGGGCCACTTCCAAATGTGGACTTTAATCAGGTACATATCTGATATCTGGACATCCGACCTGCATCTAAACACACGCATCCGATTCCCCGCAGAAATCTGAGCCACCACAATGCGATGGCGACATTTTTGCTAATAAAGATAGCGTTTTAATGTCGGAGTGCTGTATATGTGCTTGCATTTTATTGAGGTGGAAACTTTGTGGAAACTGCACAATATTGAGGAGCTGGTTTTCAACCCCTGTCCTGTGAATTTTTTAAATACAATAACTATGCTACTAAAACCTAATATATTTCTCAGCAATGAAGAGATAAATTAGCTGTTTTTGTAATTAAACCAACAAGCTTTACTAAGATACTCACTCGCATGTTCTCTTGCTCTGTCGTTAATTCATTCAAATAAATATCTTACAGCCCTAATTTTGCTACTAAAACCTAATATATTTCTCAGCAATGAAGAGATAAATTAGCTGTTTTTGTAATTAAACCAACAAGCTTTACTAAGATACTCACTCGCATGTTCTCTTGCTCTGTCGTTAATTCATTCAAATAAATATCTTACAGCCCTAATTTATTTCACTTCAGAATTCTACATCTAACGAGCTGTAGATAAAATAAATTAAAATTACCGTTCTTTTCCTACGTTCAGTCAGATTTTGTGCTGCGAAACATCTGTGACAGCTGTTGTCCATGCTGGCAAATAATGTCTACTCGACGTGAATTATATAAATACAGTATATATATTTTTTTTAATAGCACGGCCGTTCAACACCTATTGGCCTACTACTATGTGCATAGTAAAGAGATCACTGATGGGCGGGAATTCATGTAAACAGATATCGGATACCAGTTGTGTCAAAGTGAATGTAAACAGGCGGGCCAAAAAAATCAGATATGGTCAAAAGATCGGATCTGTGCATTAATACTTGCAGTGTAAATGCAGCTCTAAAGACCCTGTGAAATCAGTATGTCCTGCCCCAACTTCCTGTTTTAACAGGAAATACATCAGCACAGGAAAGAGTATTGAAGTTGTCAGTCGATTTCATGTGGTCTTTAAGAACAAAGAAAATGCATCAGGTATAAGACCACAATAAAATGGCATCACAGTGCAGAGGTTAAAATCTATCTCTAATTCTTGATTATGTTATTGTAGTTGTTTGTGCATGATGTACCAGTGGGAGGAGTCAGGGCTTTCATAAAAGTCTGTGTTTGTATAATTGTTCAGTATTTATTTCTGAAAATGGTAATGCGGTGCTAAGCAGGCCAATGAAAAATGCACACTCTTGGCAGTAATTTTGCGCATTATGTGGAACTATGTAAAATGCATTTGTATAGGTTTTTAAATTTTTGTAAACAATTCGTTTTTTTCTCTTTTTTTCATTTGTGTCTGGTTATACTGTTGCATTTTGTAAATTTCATTAAGATTAGGCTTAAAATATTTCTCTACTCCGATGTAAGATATTGTCTTTAATAATATTTAAGATGACATAAGAACATTGGCTCTGATTTTGTATCTTTGAAAAACATTGTGCAATTTAAAACATGATGTTTACTTTAAGACCACTAAACTTTTCATTAATTTATAACTTCTTATCTCTTTATTGTTTTATTGTGAGTCAAAGATGATCTAGTGTCCATTTGTTTTGTTTGAATTCTTATTGCATCTACTTATCAACTTGTGTGGGTGAGTTCTGAAAATGTTATCATGAGCGTAGGGTAAGTAATGAGATACCACCCAGAAACTATATACTATACAGTAGAGACACCAAGCTAAGTCTACGTCACAGATGAAACTAAGAAAATACAGATGAAAGTACAATTTGTTCATGAATATCTTGTGTATTTACCACTCAGTGCCTTAAAGCAAAACTCTGAATAATCATATATTTTATGCCATTTGTGACAAACGTCGACAAATCCAGTTATTAGTTCATTCGCAGAATG